AGCTGTCATGGCAACAAATGGGGAATGGTCTTTAATATGGGTTGAAAAAATGGAGAATGTCATGTTGAATAATCAATAATGTTAGTGTCCTCTGATTTCTTCCTCATAACTACAATATTTTTGTTTTTGGCAATGCATCCTGAACAGGCTTTTCCCTGCTGATACAACTGCAGTGCAATGAATATGGCTGCCATCACCAGTCTGGAGGAATCTTAGCTCTTACAAATTCTTAAAATATTACTGTAGTATTCTTAAATGGGTTATTACTAAAAGGGGGTCCACGTTTTGGCTGATCTTCAAATTGCACCACTTAAGAGCTTGATGGCAGACAGCACAGACCTCAGTAGTGCAGTGGTGAGAGGAGGGCAGCTCCAGAAGTTTCATTTAGGAGAAGCGACGGGTGGCAATCTGGTTGGAAGAGGGGAGTTTTTTTATAGAAGTACAGTACTCTTAACAGGTTGCTTTTCCCTTTTTAAGTGGCTCTTAGAACCTGAATACAGAAAAGTAGGCTTCTGTCAGTGGCTAGTACTTTTGCTTTTAAAAAAACCTAGTTTTCACATCTTTCACAAACCGGCCATATCCTCCCCGAGGCGGGGCAGCCCAAAAAGAAAAAACAAAAGTTCCTTTTTTTAAATTTAGTAATATATACAGGAGAAGGGGGTTACTAGTCCCTTGCTCCTGGCATTTTAGTTGCCTCTTAGGACATGCATGGCTTACAGAGGAAGAATTCACATGTTTTCTATAAATTACATAATCCCTTTCCCAAAAAACATCTCATAAGCTTCAGTGAAAAGGATTGTACACATAATGTCTGAAGTCACCTGAATTGTATAGTGTTAGAAGCATGTCTTAGTATTCTTCACGAAGTAATTGTTGAATTGTATTTCTAGCTTCATGTTACAACTGCTCGAAGATGGGGCACATAGCTCGTGATTGTCCTGAACCTGAGCGTACTTGCTATGTGTGCAACAAGAGTGGTCACATTTCTCGTCAGTGCACAGAGAACAAGAGCGAGAACCGAAATGCCAAGGTAAGTGTACTGCACTCTCTCAAACAATAATATATTTTCTCTTAAAGAGGGTATTTTTTTGATTGAAAATAATTAATGATCTAGCTTTCTTAACATTTCCTAGTCACATTAAAACAATTGGATCAGCTTAAGATATTTGCCAGTTGGCAAATACGTAGTAACAAAATACAAATAAATAAATTAATTAATTGGAGGGATATGTTGTGTATCTTTATACGTATATGCTTCTAAACTGATGTGTTCTGGGCACCTCTGCAAAAACAGTGATTATGTGTGAGTGAGGTAAAGTGTTGAATGATGATGAAAGTATTTTCTTTTTGGGGATTTTTTTTTCTTTTTTGGGGCACACTGCCTCGGTTGGAGACGACCGACTTGTTAAAAAAAAAAAATTTTTACATCTTTCTTTCTTTCAAACACACCGGCCGCATCCCACCGAGGCGGGGTGGCCCAAAAGAAAAAAAACAAAATTTCTCCTTTCAAATTTAGTAATATATACAGGAGAAGGGGTTACTACCCCCTTGCTTCCCGGCTTTTCAGTCGCCTCTTAAAACATGCATCCCCTAGGGAGGAAGAATTCTTTTCCCCTTCCCTTGGGAAAAGAGGAAAAAAACAAGAACAAGAACTAGAAAAAAAATAGAAGAAAACCCAGAGGGGTATTATAATACGCTTGTACATGTAGGTAGTGGACTGATTTAAAGTAAAAGTGCAAGACGTACCTGAAATTTTGCATGTTCATGAGACAAAAAAAGGACACCACAACCCTCCCACGTAAAAAATTTAAAGGGTTTTTCGTTTTACTCATTGGCGGGCGGAGACCCCCCGGGGCGGTTGCTGTCTCCAAACCTACTCCCTAGGAAAAAAAAAAAATGTACATATAACATATACATACATATACATGTTTTTTTTTTTTTTTTTTTTTTTTTTTTTTCAAAAAGTCGGCCGTCTCCCCCGAGGCAGGGCCCCAAAAAAAGAAAAAAACCCCCAAAAAGAAAATACTTTCATCATCATTCAACATTTTTCCCACCACACTCCACATTACACTTTTTTTGCAGAGGTGCTCAGAAACAACATCTAGAACATACAATAAAAAGATACACAAATATCCCCCCCCAAACTGCCAAACCCCCAAAAACCCCCTTTAAAGTGCAGGCATTGTCCCCCCATTTCCGGGACTCAACCCGACTTAGAAAATACCGGTTTCCCCTAAATCCCTTCACAAATATTACCCTGCTCCACCCCAAACAGATCGTCAGGTCCCAATACCTTTCGTCCCATTCCTCCTATCTAAACGCTCACGCAGCTTGCTGGAAATCCAAGCCCCCTTACCCACAAAACCCCCTTTTAACCCCCTCTCCCCAAACCCCTTTTCGAGGACACCCCTACCCCCCCTTCCCCCCCTTTTGATTTTTATGCTTTCCATGTCATTCTACTTATCCATTTCTCCCTAAATGACCAAACCAACCTCCAACCCCCCTCTTCGCCCTCTACTAAAAATTTTTATTAACTCCACACCCTTCTCCCTAATTTCCACACCCGAATTTTTTGCAAAAATATTTCCCCACACATTCCCCTTTAGACGGGACATCTCCGCCCCCCAACCTTTCTCCTTCTCTGCATTTACCACCCCTTCACCCCAAAAAGGGGTTTTGGTACACAACCAACATTTCCCTTTCCCCTTTGCCCCAAGATAACGTTTTTGCCACATATCCCCAAACGCACCACTCACTTTTTTCCCTTCAATTCTATGATTAACCTCACCCTTCAAAAATCCTTGGAACTCAATCCCAAGTACAAAAACTTTCACTTTTTTCCATACTCCTCCCCCCCAAATTTTGATATCCAATTTTTTCTTTTTAAATCATTTGAACCCTCATAAACCTTACCTTTTATTTTCACTTTCAACTTTCTATTTTTTACACACACCCCCAAACCCACCCACTAACCTTTGCAATTTTTTAGAATCCCCCAAAACACGTATCTAACAAAAGAAAACTGGTCAATTCCCTTTTGAATTTGATTCCCCTAATTTAACCCCACCCCTCTCCCAAACACCCTAGCATTTATTTCCCTTTACAACCCCATCTAAAATATATTAAAAACCATGGGACTTTACACATCCCGTCTAAGACCTACTTTTACCGGAGTATTTCCCTCCCTCTCTTCTTACAAAAAACCCAAAAACCTGAGCCTCACTTATCCTCATAAAAACTTTTTACGCTTTTAAATAACTTCCCAAACCTATTCCAATACTTGCAACATCTCCCACATTGCTCCTCTATCCACTCATCATATGCCTTTCTAAATCCATAAATGCAATAAAAACCTCCCTTCTTTATCTAAATACGTTCCATAATGCTTTAAGTAAACACCTGATCACACATCCCCACCCCCTCTAAAACCTCCTGCTCTCCGCAATCCCACATTCTGTCTTACCCCCTAATTCTTTTAAAATAACCCTACCTACATTTTTCCCGGTATACTCATAAGCTTTTCCTCTATAATTTTTTCAGTCCTTTTGTCCCCTTTCCCTTTTTTAAAGGGATATACATGTCCTGCCAATCCTAGGTACCTTCCCCCTTTTTTACATTTATTTAAAAAAAGTACCAAACCCCTCCAACACTATATCCCCCCTGCTTTTTAAAATTTCTTCATATCCCTCAGTTCCCTGCTTTAAACCCCTTTTTATTTTACGTAATGCCTCACTACCTCCCCCACATTTCTTTGTCTTCTTCACTCCTAAAGTGGAACCTCCCGACCAGTATGAAATTTCCCTCGTTTTTTTCCTTAAAAAATTTAAAAATTCCTCAAAAAATTCCGCCATCTACCCAATACCTCCCCCCCCATCTCTAAATCCCCTACCTTTTTTTTAAATGACAATCCATTTTTTCCCTAGGCTTTCTTAATTGTTTAAATCGCCCAAAATTTTTTTTTTTATTTTCATTAAAATTTTTTTGACAGGCCCCCCCCCTCTATCATCTGCTCTCCTTTTTCACTCTCTCACCACCTTTTTTACCTTTCTTTTCTCTCCCTTACTCTGCTTCTTATAACACTTCTGTTTGTAAAAAAACCCCTCATAAGCTACCTTTTTTTTTTTATCACACCCTTTTACTTCACATTCCACAATTACTCCTCTTTTCCTCCCGCCCCCACCCCCTAAACCACAAACTTCTGCCCACATTCTAATACTGATTTTTTTAAAATATTCCAACCCCCCTTCAAAAACCCCCCCACTACCACTTGCACAGGGCCCCCCTTTTTGCCAATAGTCGCTTTATCTCACCCCAATTCCTCCTCCCCCTTTGTTTATACAAAATTTCACCTCCTCTTAAATTTTGTGCCACCTTTCCCCTTTTTTCCCCTCTACCTCTTACTCTAATGGGAGCTACAACAAAAAATGATCCGATATATCGTTTCCCCTCTAAAACATGTACATCCGGAGCCCACCCCTAACCCTTTTTTCCACCAATACATAACTAAAAAACTTTTATTAGTGTACATCAAAACCTTTGTAAAATTTTTTTTATCCCTTTTTCATAAAATAGATTTCTTATTACCAAAATTTCTTTTTACACATACTCAATTAAAGGGTCCCCATTTACATTTACCCCTGGCACCCAAATTTTCCCCATACTCCCCCCCATAACATTTTTTCCCCCTTTAGCATTAAAAACCCCCAACCACCCCTTTTCTCACACTTGAAATTTTAAAATCCCCACGCTTCACTCAACTTTTTCCCCAAAACTCTCTCTCTCCTCACACTTCCTCTTCTCCCGGTGCATACACCTTATTTAAAACCCCTTTTCACATCCAATTTTATTTTGCTCCCCTAATCCTTGAATTTAAAACTTTTTTGTCCCTCTTTTCTGCATGCTTATCCTTTAACATTATTGCTACTCCCTTTTTTTGCTCTAACTCTTTTTTAAACCCTGACCCAATCCCCTTTTTCCCCTCCCCTGAAACTTCCCCACCCCCTTCACTTTGTTTCACTTAAAACCAGGACATCCAGCTTTTTCCATTTTAACATCCACAATCACCTTTCTTTTCATCAGCACAACATCCACGCACATTCAGACTTCCCACTTTACAATTTTTTCTTCTTCTTATTTTTTTTAGTAATCTTTACGGGAAAAGGGTTACACCCATTGTTCCCGGCATTTGTTGACTTTTACAACACGCATGGCTTACGGAGGAAAAGATTTTTTTCCCACTTCCCATGGATTAAAAAAAAAATTAATAAGACCAAAAACATTAAGATAAAATCAAAAAAAACTCAGATGAGTTGTATAAATAAAGGGTTACAGTATGTGTAGTGTGACCTAAGTGTAAGTAAAGTACAAGACAGCCTGAAATTTTGCTTTTTATAGACAGACAAAAGACACAGCAATCCTACCATCAGTAAAACAATCACAGGCTTCTTTTACACTCACTTGGTAGGACGGTAGTACCTCCCGGGGTGGTTGCTGTTCCAACCTATACATTACTATATCTATTACATATACTTTATACATATACATGATGAGGGGATCAAATGTTTTTGATAAAAAAAATTGGATTTTAAATTGGGGAGGGGGATAGGGAAAAGTAAATTTTTTAAGATACTTACTGGGATTTGACGTGGCGTTGGATTTATAAAGGATAGGTTAACATAGAATTGAGGGGGAAAAAAGGTGAATGGTGCGTTGGGGTATATGTGGAACAAAAAACATTATCTATGGAGGAAAGAAGGGAAGTATGAAATATAGTAGTACCAACACTCTTATATGTGTGAAGTTTGGGGGGTAAATGCACACGAGGGACGGTGGGGCGGGGAGATGCCCTGTTTAAGGGCAATGTGTGGTGTAAATTTTATGCGAAAATTCGGATGGGGAAATTAGGAGAAGGTGGGAGTTAATAAAAGTATAATCAGGGGGTAAAGGGGGGGTTTTTGAGGGGGTTTTTGGGTCTTTAACCCTTAAACGGTCCAAAACAATCGACATTCAAACCCGTAGTGCTCCAAGGGAACTA